TTGTTTTTTATTAGTTGTTTAGATCTTATAAAACTATTATTATCTAAAGCGTGTTTCAGAGGTTGAAATTGAACACGCGGCTATCGTAGCACCAACACTGCGATCTTATGCATCACTCTAAAAACATTTGGACCGTTTATTTTTCCTAAATCCACTTGGAAAAGCCTATATCTGAGTCTATCAAGAGAGCTCAGCGAGTGACGAGGCTTTTCATATGTTTAGATCTAAATAAACAGCCTGCGGTGAGCCACTGAGCATGACGTTTCACCGTACTCAGGGCCAGCATGGCATTTCACCATGCTCTTAGCGCCAGCATGACGTTTCACCGTGATCTGTGCTACAGCGCAGACTGTTCTGTTTCTTTTTTTAGCTCTATACTAAATAAAAAATAAACCTCGACATTTGCCGAGCTTCCTCCTTAGATTGCGGCGACTGGCTTTCCCAAGTGCACTGAGAAAAAGTAGACGCACCAGATTTCTTAGAGTGTGTTTGCACAAGGGATTCGACGGAGCATGCGCGTGTCTCATGCATAGGCCGATGTTAAAAAGGACGCGTTCAAGAGGCCGCTAAGCACATATGCGCAGAAAGCGCCAATGAAGCGTCCGTGTACCTGCATTCATTCCTCTCTAACATTCCTCGACAAAACATCGCTGCGAACGCACTGATTTCGAACGACGTATAAGAACGGAAGAGCGAAGAACTTTTGTCGAGTGTGCAGGGCCACTATCTCTCCGTCCAGAGCGATTCGGTTAGTTCGATTCAGCTTTCCGCCCCTCTTGCCACACACAATGGGGAGTCTTGCTCCGGACTGCGGCCGCGTTAGCGGACACGGCGCTCCTGAAAGTTCGCAGTTTCGAGTCCCAGGCGGCTCCTTGAACCCACCCAGGCCCTCGGCGCGGTTGGCCCCATTTGCGAAAAGAAGAAGAAGAAAAAAATAGAAAGAGACTCGGTCGTTACGCAACCACTGATAATTCCACGCGAGAGATTCTCGGCAACCGAGATACGCACTTTCTGAAGACGTTGAGTTCACGTGGGTGGCCAACGACGCGGGAGCTGTAGTTTTGAGGGGAGTATAAGAATTGCCCTAATTAGTCCTTCATTTTTGTTCTTATTAGACGCGTACACTCTAAAAAAAGTATGCGAGATATTTTTTTCATCAGAAAATTATAGTCATTGACACCTTAAGAAACATGGGGCGTGACGTTTAACTTGCTCATTATTATTATGCACATAGCATTTTTCAGACTTAATAGTATTTGAAACCTGGTCATTCTCAGAGATCCTTTTGTTGTTCGCCGTCATAGGTTCTCTTTGTGTTCTGAAGAAAACTGAACACTGAAACCTTTTTTTTTTTAATGCTCAATCACCGACAGCTTACGATCGTTGATGAAGTTTAATTATGAGAGCTCCTGTCACTTCGCGATCCGTTCCTGACTGATCTTACCGAGTGATACTGAAACCTTGCAAGCTGCAACAATGTGACGTGTTGGGCTAGTTGGTTTACTCTTGTCCAAGTTTTTTTACCGCTGTTTCTTGCCAAGATGTTCGCTTGCAAGCTGCCCAGTGGTAACTGGACGATTGGGATCAGCCCGGCTTTCTATAGCTTCGAAACTGTCGATGGACATGTCGAAACAGATCCCTCTATTTTTCTATATGACAAACTCGGTTTTTCCCCTTGAAGCTCGTTGACATGGTCGAGATGAGGACACCTCGGGGTGAAGACACTGAGTGCGTGGCAGCAGAATGAACATCTGGGTTTTCCCCGAGCTGGGCTCCGCCGAAGAACAGAGGAGTGCGAGAGGAGAGAGACGACCAGGGACGAACCGTCGGAGCGGACGCGGAATTCGTCTGCTGCCAAATTGGCCATGTAATCAAAGAGTTACATAAATGACATATTCCCCTCCCAACGACAAGACCATCGAGCCATATTCTCCGGACAACAACGGAATTCAATCGATCAGGTAGTAGAAAGTACACAAATTCCAAATGTGGTGACGGATCTTGCTTCGTGCTTTGTTCTTCGGCACTCTAATTGGTGGATGCCACAATCTCGTAGGCTGCGGAGCCATAATAAGGTACTCAGGGCTTGCCACACCCCTCGTTTCTTTAATTATTTGGGTCACGCTCGTGTTTTGCTTTTGTTGCGCTCGTGTGCAATTTCTGCGGTAACAGATTTAACGAGATCCACAAGTGTCTGAGGCTCGGCGTTTGTCCTGCCGATTGCTAAACCCAGCGCAGAGATATGTTATGGACAGTGTATATAGGCCTTTACGATCGGCCAGGTAACGTGGCCGCTGGATCCCTCTGGGAGTTGTGGTGATGAACACTATACTCTACCCTCAAATTCATTTTTGAACTGCGAGTCCGCCGAGAGGAAAAAAAAAACTAATTCGGCTGGCTCATAGACATTCTGTCAAATCAAAAGAAGGTGCGAGAACACTAATACGCAGTTCCTACTACGCAGCTTCCGTTTCTACGCAGCGGAAAAGGGGAAAGGGAAGGGGGTAGAGAGTGAAGTGTTAGCTATGCCGCTTGCAGAGAGCCAATCACCACAATCTGCGGAGGGAACCCGGCAGATAACGCCGAGGTCTGCACTGCAACACTGAGCATAACATGATATAACGTGATTAGATGAATGTCACAGACCACAGTGTGTTTTAATATCCAAACATATTTTCGGCCTCGTGATTCGCCGACCTCGCTCCATAAATTCCACCGATTGGTTCTACCGTATGGTTTGCGGGAAAGCAGGCTCTTCAAATTTCTTAGAGTGCGCATCTGGCAGAGGTCTTTCTTTTTCTCGTTATTTTTCGTATTAGCCAGAAGTGCGCCTCCGTTGTACGCGCGGTTTGGAGCAATGGCTGCTGCTGCTGATGGGGCATTGATATCAGAGGTCGTGTTTGTTTAAAAGAATACTTAAAGGATACAGACCTGATTGTAATAAGTTACGTTATAGAGGGCCGTAATGGAGGCTTGATTATAAATTAAATACATAACAGGAAACGGTGAACTTTTTTTAAAAGATGACACTTGCAATTCACTTTAACACATGTTTCGCAATTTTCCTTGAGGCAACGTGTAAAACATACATTCATGATGGATAGTATAGGCGTTTGGGTAAGTTGCTAGACAATGGTAAAATAAAAAAACGCACAAAACACTGAAGAAAAGAGGAAGACAAACTTTTGCGCAATAGTTTGTTATTCTTCGCTTCCTTGGGAGTGTTTTATGTTCTGTGGGCTTTGTTATGTTTCCGCGGCGACGGTTATCAGTAAAGCATGTTGCGATACTTAAAGAAATGTTACCGGAAATCATGCAAAGAGAGCGATTTTCGTATGTTTTGCGAAGAAGAGCAATAAATCGACCAACAAGGGTGTAGATTCATTGCCGAGTATGCAAAATTTGGTACCACGACGGATATTAAACTTGTAAAACCTTGAGGTGATATTTGTGTGATATTTAAAACAAAAAAGAAAAAAACTGATTTTGTAGTTGTTTTTCTTTTCTTTTTTTTTTTTTGTCAATTGCGTTTATAGTTGGATGATGCGAATGCCTCTTTAAAACTTAGCTTGTTTAGAGCATTTTGCTTTCGATCGGTTATGTCCACGCCCAAGTGGAGTTGGCTTTATTGTATGCCCAAAATTTAAATTCAAACTATCAATTGCATTACAATTCCGTGAACGATCCCGCAACTACAGTACGTAACCCGCCCGTCGAACTTTGTAGGCATTTTGAGTTACGTGGCGAAGATTAGGAACCCCTTAATTTCACTTAACCTAACCTTCTGGATAAAACTTCCGTTTTACAGACATCTCGAAACGTCTCAGCATTATTTACGCGGATCTCAGAATCACGAAATGTTCTTAATAACAACGCGAAAACATTTGAAATAGTAGGAGAAAAATAAAATGTTGAAGTGGTCACCTGCAAGAATTACGACCTATACTTACATAGGTAGTTTTTACCGCGACGCGTTTTACTACGGCCTAATCTCATAAATACCGTACAGTGTCATATGACCGTTTTTTTCCACAACGTTCTAGACTATCGCGACCCCCTCCTTCAAAAATGAGAAAACCGACAGATTTGGTTTGAATCACACATAAACTTAATATTCTCAGCAACATAGCACTCCTCCCATATCTGTACTTTTACGTTGATACCCGGGCTTCTTCATGTTATCAAAACGTCAATTAAAGAAAAAAATGGAAAAAGAAAGACATCATGTTCAAAGAGATAGGCGAGTTGGTGGATATTGAAACCGGGATATACCTATAAGTCGTGGATAAGGTAAACCCTGTGGCTGAGATTCAGACGTTATCTGTCACGCTTGTGCTTTTTGTATCTCCTACTGTTTTTACTGTTTACCAGTCTAGTCTCAAAGTTTACCAACATAGTCAATTGTGAACTTTTTAATGCAATGTTCATGCAGAGTCTCTCTTGCGAGATCAGGAAACCTGGTAGTTCACTGCGTACCAACACATTTAATGGTGGATCTCTTTTTATCTTTCGTTCTTCTTCATGTTACCTGCACATGGCCTCGAAATACCTTTAATCGTCTGTTTATACTGAAGCAGCAGCGAAAATTAGGTCTACGCCAACGACACCCTTGTCGTCCCATTCTCGTCCTTAACGTGGAATTTCTGTTTGCTCGCCACGGTAGACGTCCGGCGGCCAACCAATACTAGGCCAAAGAGGTTAATGAAGCGCACTATTTTCGGAGACCGCATCGGGGCTAAGACCTTTTGATACGGAGGTTAACAGTGACACAGACAGACACACACGTACACACACACAAACACACGCGCGCACACACTTACATACGCACGAACACACGCGCGCACACACACATATGTTTATCGACAGATACACGCAGACACGGAAACGCACACGCATACAGACAGAATTCGCGCAATAGTGTGTTTGCAGACGCACACAACGGAGCATTCCCGTGTGCTGTCCAGCAGCCGCAGCAGCAGCAACAGCAGCAGCAAAAGGACACACGGGGAATCAGTGGACTCGTGGCATGCGTTTATCGGCTTCTCTGGAATCGATAAGCGGTGAAGATGTGCCCCGTGCGTCGGGCCGGCGGAGGTCTTTTTGGCCGCTGATTCCGCGTCACTTGGAAGCAACTAATCTGCTGCGGCCGACGGGTGAGCGAATCCTTTGCCCGCGGACATGTTCTGATAGCCGCCACTGACCACTCGCCGCGTACACGCCGACTAACGGGCAGGGGAACCTTGCTTCAGCCGAGTCTTGTACGGTCGCGGACAAGATGAACTGAAACGGTCCTTCATTTCTTTGGCATTTCTCTGCCAGCATTTGAGAGAGCATGGGGACCGGACTAGGAAGGAATTGCGAGGTTGAAGTTCCGCACGTAGGTCTATTCGACAAATTGATAGACAATATAGAGCTTTTGTAGGAACCGCAGACTCGGAAAAAGGGCCGGATCGGCTGTTTCAGCTCACGTTGCCCGCGCTGGTACACGCAGTCGTTGCTGTGTTCGGGGGATTGTTTTTGCGCTCGGTGGGCAGCGTCGAGTGACCTGCTGTTTACCCTATGGAGTCGCGAGCCTCTATGTAAGCCTATTGGCTACGCTACAAGTGCGTTCAAATAGTGTCTATACGAAGGTTTCTTCGAGCCTTGTGTGTTTACTAAATTGTAAGATGTCTAAAAATGTCGTAAGTTACATTATTTGTGATACATTTTTTAAAGATCATATTACATTATTGTTATTGTGAATTGGTGTTTAATTGTTTTCTTGTTTACAAACCTGAGTTGGGAGTTGCTTCGGTAGTTATTATAAAAAGAGCTTGGAATGCCATGGAATCTGGTTCCTTGTTGTGGGTATTGGAAAGCAAATAGTGCTTAGAGATAATGCTGTTTTGTCAATATACTCAAGGAGAAAAGAAACCTGTCTAGCATTACCAGCGTTTTTTATTCTTTTATTTTTTGTTCGCCATCAACCTAGTTATTCGTACACATTTCACTGAAAGGACATCAAACGCAATTACAAAAATTTTAATGTTGACATAACCTAGACAACTTCGGTTTATTTTTTGTGCTGTTTTCTCGTACTGCAAGTTGATTCAGTATCAGAGTCAGCTTTCTCTGGATATAACAAAGAGACGCAAGGGAATAAATTCATTCTTAGAGGCTTATTTTTACTTATTGGGCGTTTTAATTTGTTTTAATTGCAGAACCGTTCATTTAAATATACCAGTTGTACCGAATGGACGCCAAATCTTAACCGTAAAATCATGGCCGGGTTGGAACCGGTCGTCTCCGACTTCGCCAAGAAAACATTAAGCGACAAAACATCTTATTGACTGGCCTCATTTCGACCATATTCGATCGTGCCTCAAAGTATACGGTTAGGTATTTTTAACAACTGACCTTTTTCTTTCTCAACAACATAAGTACAATAGTTTTCTTACCATATATGATTGGAAAGAAAAATTAGAGCCAAAAAGTTACATATTTTTTGATAAAGAAATTAATTGAAGAAATATGAAAGACACACGTCGTCCATTCGGGACAGTTACAAACAACGAATGCCCTTCTGCGTATTTGTTTTCATATCTTTCTGCGGAAGTACTCATTCAACAGAGGGCGCAAGGGGGGTCCTATGTGACATAAGCGGTTACGTTTCATAGTTATTGCAACAAATGGTCACGCTGCAGCCGCATGTACGGTTGCTTAATCGCACGTGCTTCTCGAGGCTCTCCTTCGGCAGGCAGATAGACACTCTGCAGTAACTTTCCAGGGTAACATAGTTTTGCCCGCGAAATGTCAAAACGTCGCTTTGGTGCACTCCGTACGGCGTTATCTTACGTGTTTTCTTTTTGCTTTCGTTCGTAAATCTTGCCAGTATTCTTTTTACTTTGTGAAATATCTTGACACACATAGATTTTTCTTCTTTTTTTTTTTCGAAGCGGAGTAAGCACGCTCTCGTGTTTTCTTAGCGGCTTCTTTCATCTAGATTGTCCAGGAGGTTGTTTACAAATCTGACTCACTATTTTAGCACATTAGTCCGAGGCGACTGCATGTATGTCTGCACTTATTTTGTAAGTGCTCTTCTGCGCTTCTGCACAGCGTGTCGATGTACGAGTAGCGCTCCGCAATGGACCGTGATAATTTTAACTGCATTATTTTGCCCTTTCTGTTCTTTCTATCTGGGTTTTAAGATGACCGCATTGTATGAGACTTTTTCGGAGAACGGCCATTGCTGCTTAACAAAGTACCGTTTGTTTATTTCGCAAGCAATTAGGGTTTTATGAACGGTACCGTGATACGTTCAGGGGCCATTTGAATAATTTGTGTTTCGATAACGAAAATCGATAAGTGGTGAGATCGTCTTGAGATCGATGACCTCCTAGCTCTGGCATACCTCTCTCGCCTTCCCTTCGAGCAGGCAATCATAAACGATTCGCGGATTTTGAATTGTTTTTTAAATCGTGCACTATCTTTTAAAACACCGAGCGAATGTTGGGTTTATCGGAAAATGCATTACTTCAGTGCCAAAACTCCCGTGTACTTTGTTCCCCTCCGTGAATACAATATACCCCCATCAGGTTGAAATTTCAGCTTGCTGCTCTGGCATTTTCTCGACGTTGAAATCGGCTTTGATTGCAGCGTCTATGATTGCGGGAATCACGTCTTACCCTACGCGGATCTGATAGAATGTTAAAGGCCTGAGCCGCTGCCAAGTCCAGCTCTTTAGAGAGACAATTCCGACATTTTTGCAAAAATAGCTAAGTCTGAAAAGGCTTCGTTTTTTTTTTTTCTTTTGTTTTTTTCACGGTGACTAACGTCTTGAAGCATGTTAGCCACAATAGGAAATTTAGGCATGAACGATGGGGTGTCACCAATTGTGTGCGGTGCACTACGAGCAACAAAAACTACTTACTGTGGATTTTGCGCTGTAATAAACGAGCACAGGTTTTCAAACGCATAATACAATATTTGAAACCCGTCTGGTCACGCCTGCTTCTAAGAAGTCACTGCTTAGACGTCTGAGAAGATATACGCTAACAAAATTACTTGTCTGTCGAGAAAGAAGGTACAATATTTTTTTTTTTTTAACGCGTTAGGGAGCTTGTGTTGCTGAAAAGCCGGTGACGGTGGCTTCTCGCGAAAATCCTGATTGGTCGATTGGGTCATGACGCCACAGCCACATGACCTCGAGCGGGAATTTCAAACAGCCTGCGACGCTCACGTAAACGTGACGTCACGCGTGGAATAAAAGTGATTCGCATTACATGACATGTGATGCGAATCACTTTAAATGTCGCCGATTTAAAGGTATTTAAAGGTTGAATCAATTAAAGGTCGCCGCATGTCTCAAATGATTTCACTTTATATTTGGCTTAAAGACAATTTTTCTGAATTTTAAGCGGGATTCGAACCCAGGACCCTTCTGCGAGCCAGACACGCTACTGACTAGACCACGCAAGGCAGGCTTGCCCGGCGAATAAGAAGGCGATACGAACGGGGCCCGATAATTGTAAATGTAAGTGCAAGTGCAAGTGGGCGTAGCCAGCCTAGTGTAGTAAACGTTAGTTCGTCCATAGTTTGAGGCGACCATTTTAAAACTTCTTGGAAGTTTTGCGCTATCCACTTCCGCGGCTTGCATTTTTTAGAGACAAAAAGTGATTCACGTGTTTCGGCTCGAAAAAATGTATTGCATCCCTCAAGCTGCGCTAAGAGGCTCCCGATAACACCAGGGGAGTAAATAGAAGGTGCTTCGGTTGGCAGCCAAGATGGGCAACTTTGGAAAGGCCATTCAACCTAAAGAGTGGAAAGGACAACTGCGTCCGCGTTCGGTAGGTCGCTTAAAGTTCATGCCTGAGTTCGTGTCCAATGAATGCGGCTGCGAGCCGTCTCAGAATTTTGTAAATTCTGCACAAGATTGCGCTGTCTGTCGACCCAAACGTTACTGTTATATTTCGTTTCGCAATAAGTTCGACCGTAAACGCACAAGGGTGACGAGCGTCTTGACGATGTGCTTTGGAGCTGCTTGATCGGCTCCATTAGACCTTACGGTCGGCCTTAATATGAGACCGAGTACGGGGATGAATGAAAACAACGTGAACGGTGGAAAGCACAGAAGACAGGACAGAACATCTTTCCCGATGTTTTGTCCTGTCCTCATCTGTTTTCTGTGAGAGTTGGCTCGCCCTACCAAAAGAACACCAACCCGACCTATCGCCACTCCTGATCAGGCTCGTTCACAACATGCTTGGGGGAGAGTGGTAGATTTACTCCTCGAGCACCGGATTATTTGTTTCTTTTTCAATTTAAATTTATTTTCATTGTTCAGTTTATATTTATGTGTAATTCCACTCCTCTCTGTTATGCCTTCGGGCCCTGAGAGTATAATAAATGAAATAAATATTTTTTTCTTTCTCTCTCTGTGTGTCGTCCTTACCTCTGTTCATGTTGTTTTCCTTCATGCCCGTAACTTTACCAGCACGCTTTCATTTGCCAAGGAGTATAGATTGGCAGGGGCAATCGCCTAACCGAGTGTGCCTGTCGCTGACACCCGATAACCGAACATTGTGAACCACGGCCAGAGGCCACGATGCGTGCTCATGTCTTTTGCCTTCTTCCATCGGTCGTTTCAGTGACGACTGGAGGCCGGCCATGACGAGCGGCAAGTCGTCCGAGTCTGTCCGGAAAGCGGCCCTCCAGGAGGAAGAGGAGGAGGACAGCAGCAGCGGCACGGATGGCCCCGTGGAGCTGCCCAGTCCCCCGGACGGCGGTTACGGCTGGGTCATCGTGTTCGCCTCTTTCGTCTGTTTCGTCATCGTCGACGGAATCATCTTCTCCTTCGGAATCTTCCTTCGGGAGTTCGCAATCACGTTCGACGAGTCGAAGAGCTCGACCGCATGGGTGGCGTCCATACAGACAGGATGCTACCTGCTTGCCGGTGAGGCACGTCCGCATGAACTGCGCGGGCCAGAAAATGGTGGCGCAGTAGGAGCGATGTTATCAGAGATGTTATGGTCACTGAAAGGGTCACAACGGCCAGGGAGGGGCTTCACTTTTTTCATCTCCGGCCCGAGCTTCCTGCCTTTGACAATGCCTCGGCGTCTCTGGCACCTCGAGCGCTCACGTGCTGAAGGCTGGACTAGCCTCTTCTATAATTACAAATCCTGGCAGTTCGACGACGGAGCCATAGAGTGCCCGGTTGCAGATTTAGAGCGCGAGGATCTGGTAGCACAAAGCATGAAAGAGCCATTTCTCGAGGAACGTGGACGTCAGCTCACAGATTTTGCAGCGGCGAGGACCCGAATCACATTTGTTCGGACGGGAGAAGTGTGTTTCCGCGTCTCGCCGCAGCGGGGCGCCAATCACGTGACTCTCCTCTCATCCGTTGTTAGCCACTCCACCTTTTCCGTTTCGGCGGGCGCTTTTCGTGGCGATCTGCCAGGCTTTGTCAGTATATAGGAGGCTATGGCGCAGCGGCACGTATAGAGCGCGTGCTGAAGGCTGGACGTTCGGAAGACACGGCCAGCTGTTTTCACTCTGTCAGTGACTATGGTTTACTCCTACTAAATAAACCTAAGACTAATAATGTTTATGTAATCCCGCATATTGGCCACGTAAAGATCGAGATGACCCACACACGCACATAGGAAAATCGTCGCAACACGGCGTAGTCGGCCCTTTTCTGGTTCACCTGGCATGCTTACAGAGGGGCAGCAAGCAAGAGCGTCCCGTTGACTAGGTTAGCTGTTTAAACCACCGTCTAAGAACAAATAAACAAAAATATGTCCGCCCTCACCCGCTTTGCTTAAAAGGAGTTAGCCTAACTGTTACAAATAGGGAAAATAAGCTTCAGTATTTGCCCTTGCATCTAGATATATATTTATATATTTCCTAGTTCCCCAAACTGCTGTGAATTTATATTAAAAAAAAGACAGGTTTTCGGGGGAAGTTCGATCTCAGCACGACGCTGGGATGTCTAAATTGCATCTTGGACTGGTGAATTTAGCGTTCGATACCGTGGTTCTCTCCCCTCCCCCCACCCCAGAAAAAAAAAAAGAAGAAAAAATACAGCATTTTTATTTGCACGTTACCCGCTGAGCAATAATGGCATTTCATTGTCGCGAGCGTGGTGGTTAGCTGTACAAGCGCCGGCTTAGAAGAGGACAAAACCGTTGGGAGGCGCTTTCGTCGCGGCTTACGAATTTGTGGCCGCTTGAATTGACGCAGTATAGCCGACTGCAAAGCGAGCTAATAGCCGCCAGAATTAACGTGATTGGACAAAAGCGAACATTGTTGTTGCATCACGAAGCGGAACTCAGAAGTACGAAACAAAGCCGGGGTAAACACACCAGTCCTTCACGCACTTCAGGCGCAGTGCCCACTGGTAACTAGGTTCGTATCTTTATTTTAAACGTCAGGAAGTCAGGCGTACCACGGTATTCTTGCCTTTGATAAAACGAACGAACGTACTAACCTCAAGCCATGTGCGCGTTCTGTTGTGCGCGTTCTGTTGTGCTCCTTTATATTTGCTTAAATGTATCACATTGATGTACACTTCCCCCCACTGTAATGACACTGGCGCTGGGGGTAAGTGAATAAATAAATAAATAAAAAAAAAATAAAAGGCGTTAGGATATGCAGTGATTGTCACGGCACAACACATGTGAATGGGGTGCATCCAGAACACGAGGCGGTAATGGTAATGCTCGAAGTATATTAATTTTGCTAATTACGGATCACATGCTAGCATCCCGGGATTGTTACGGCACGACGCACATGAACGGGGTGCTTCCAGTACAAGAGGCGATAATTCTCGAAGTGTATTAATTTTTCGCATTACTGATCATATGTGGGAATCCCCGCGAGCATTATCGGTCTAGAAATTCACTTTTGTACGTGTCTGATTCGTCCGCAGGTCCCGCGGCCGCAGGTTTGGCGAACGCCTTTGGTTGTCGCTCGGTGACCATCGCGGGAAGCTTGCTTGCCGCAGCAGGCTTCTGCGGAGCAGTCTTTGCCCAGAATATTGTCCACTTGTATATCTCTATCGGACTCTTCAGCGGTAAGTTTGTACTACACTCGCTGTCATATCATAAAAGATTAAGTTTTTTTTTTCGTTTTTTTTTTCACAGTAAACACGCACTGCGCGAAGTACTTCTAACAAGGTTTGGTTGATGAATGCCGAAACGATGTTTTTTAGCTTTTGAAACATTTACGTCTTGATAAAATAACGTGGAACTAATCCAACGTGGAACTACATACATCTTAAAAAAACACACGAGGGGGGAACTTAGTAAAGGTCCGCGAGGAGCTAGACTTTTTTTACTGTGGTTCTTGAAGTGAATACGAGTGTAGGGTTATCTATCAATCGACTGACTCAATACATATCTAGAGATAAAAGTCGTTTGTACGTACACGAGGGGTGTTCAATAGGCTTTGCCTCCTAAGCTGTAAGTTTTGTTAATTTAATCATGGAATTGAAAAAGTTAAAGTTCGAATGAAACTTTGGAATCTCTTCTTCCCTGGAGCACACCACTTTTTTATATGATCTCCACCAGCCGCGGTGCACTTCTTCCACCAGTGCAGAAATATCTGCAGGCCGTCACAGATGAATAAAGGCGGCTGTTGACGATACCAACGCCGCGCTGGAGGAGATGCAGTTCCAAGATTTTTTGCCTTGCCCACATTACAGTCCGAACCTCGCGCCGTCAAACTTCTGGCTGAATCTGAATCATCTGAATAGCACGCGGTTCGCCCGACAAAGAGGTTACCGCAGCATTGCTCCGTTGATGCCGTCAACAGTCGCCCTCATTCTTCTGCGACGCCATGCAGAGACTAGTGCACCGATGGCAGAAGTGCATCGCCCCTGGAGGGGACTATATCGAAAAGCAATGTGTTCCTGGGAAAGAGGAAATTCCAAGCTGGCTTTTGAATATACGCCCTTCCCATTCAAGCACTGAATAAAAAGTTAGAACCCAGGAGAGAAAACTTCTTGAACACCCCTCGAAGGTCAGCATCAGATAACGGCTGTACCCTCTGACAAGGAAATCGTTTTCACGCCTTCTTTCCGAACTTCATTAGCATCTAACTCAACATCTGTACATCCATAGGAACTTGGGCGTCTGTATGGCACAAAACGTAGGTTTCTATATCAAACGGTCCAAGTATGCATCAAACTGATTGCCTAATTCACTATTGCAGGTACTGGCTTCGGCTTGATCTTCCTGCCGGCCGCCGTGACCATCAGTTTCTACTTCGAAAGGAAGCGAGCATTCGCCACGGGCATCGCCGTCTGCGGCTCAGGCATCGGTGGCTTCCTCATGGCGCCGTGTTGCCAAGTGCTCGTGAACACGTTCGGCTGGAGAGGTTCCTTCCTCATCCTTGCCGGACTCACGCTAAACTGCTGCGTTGTTGGGGCCCTCTTTAGGCCCATAGAGGAGCCGGAGCCCGAACCGGACCCCACCCCAATGAAGCCTCTCCTCCTGCGAATCAAAGAAGCCAGGGATGCCATGACCAAGTGGGACTCCGTAGAAAGCGGCATCGACGAGAACCTCCTAACTAGTCCGAGGCGGAAACGAAGCTGCCCGCCCCCCAGGATTCTTCACGACGTGATGAGCACCGAAGAGCGAAGCGCCTCTAGTTCGACCAGCGGGAGTAACAGCAGCCCGCCACCGCCTTACTTCGAAGCCGTGAGGACCACCAACCAGCAGTACGACTGCTGCCACAACAACAACCAGCTTTCGGTGGAGTACAAGCCTTACCGAAGAATGTCTTACCCGAGGAGCAGGCGCCGACGGATGACGGCACCGGAAATGCGGCCTTTCTACCGGCAGGACATCTTATTCAGTGCCAGTCTCCTGCGCATTCCGGAGTACAGGTCGCAGCGGGACATTGCTTCCTATCATCAGAGCATCGCCAACTTTCCTAAGCCGGGACCGGGCAAGAAATGGGGCTGCCTGTCCCCCGAGATGACGAATACTTTCAGCCAGATGCTGGACGTGTCTCTTCTGACGAGTCCTACGTTCATGACACTGGCGATATCGGGGTTTCTGACGCTCGCCGGCTTCTTCATTCCGTTCATGTACATCGTGGATAAAGCCATACTCTCTGGGATCTCACCGGACCAGGCGGCATTTATTCTCTCAGCCATCGGCATCACGAATACGGTCGGACGAGTGTTCTCCGGATGGGTTTCAGACCGACCCCAAGTCAACGCCCTGTGCATCAACAACGTGGCCTTGACTGTGGGTGGCATCGCCACCGCACTGTGCCCCTTTTTCGAGACCTACACAATGCTCCTGGTCTACAGTGCTGTCTTTGGATTCTCAATTGGTGAGAGGTTTATGTTTGAAATGAACAAAGGATGATCGCTAATGTCATTTTGTCGGTTTCAGCCTGCTTCGCTGCTCTTCGTTCCATCATCGCTGTCGAGATGTTCGGTGTCGAAAAGCTCACAAACGCGTTTGGCCTGCTGCTGCTTTTCCAGGGGGTGGCTTCGATAATAGGCTCACCGGTTGCAGGTATGTGAAAGAGGATCTCTTGCTAATCAATTATTTATATTTCCGATGGGGTAGGTCAGTGAAAACTATTTCCCAAAATGTTTACGCAACATTGAGTCTCCTTATGATCATGCGAAGCGGAGAAAAATAGAAAGACAAAGATCAAAGCACGAGGTGACCAGCTCGGCCCTCGCAAGTTGGCCACTATTGTGGAAAGGGTGAATGCCAATGCGTACTCAGACTACCTCTTCTGCAGGAGCCTTCACCCAAATGAAGCATTTTGCGGAGTGACGCTCTCATATCTGTAATTTCTACAGCACTGGCTTAAACCGAGGGGTCCTAGAAGAAAACTAAAGCACTTTTATCACTCCCGCATGTCTTTTTCAGACAACATAGCCTCACGGGCATTCTGCATACAACCTAAGAACATGTCTAACTTAACTGAGTCATACACCGCGTTTAGTTTTGTTAGAAAAATCTTTTGGCACGTCATTCATATTGCGAGGGAGATCAGGCGATTAGAATTAAATTTCCGTCTTTTGTGTCAGCCTACTTCGTCTGGTCTTCCTCACAGAGGGGTGGAGGTACACTCTTGTGGAACAGTTCGGAGGATACGCTTCCTCAACTCGGGAGTTCTGAAGGATCCGCTTGAAAGCGAGATGGTACAGGAAACTTTACCTCCATTACGTTGCGAGGAGGATCATATTGATGCAGTTGGGCACAGAAAAATACGTTCAATCGTAGGAAGTGAAAACACGCAGGCTAGCAGCTGGTGAATTGACTTCACAATGAAAAACCCGAGACTGAGAGAAAATAAAATAACGGACAAGTACACAGACCATGTACTTGTCTGAATTTTTTTTTCTGTCGTTTATTTATTTATTTATTTATTTATTTATTTATTCTTGTGGATTGAATTTTGGTTACCGTTACGGTGGGCTGGAGGGAGAGGTGTGCTCACGGCCTGGTTCGGCATGATAGGCAGGAAGCAATTGTGTAGGTGTTCGTTGCTTCTCCGCACTGTGCCAGAAACGCCACTTGAACATGATCCGCACGCAATGCTGTTGCTGTCTGTCAAGTCACACGTGATACACTGCTCGTGGTCCTAGCCAAACCGAAAATTTGTTGTCTAAGATCAGAAATAAAAGAAGAAGTGGAGGTTGAAGTTGTTTTGATATCAGCTTTTACTAAGGTGAGCTCCAGATCCGTTTAGTTTCCGGCGCCCGCGTGTACTGTTAGAGCTTTTATAGACGTGTAGTCTTTGTAGCATGAACATGAGGAGCATCTAAATCCTTTCGCATTATGCTCGTCGTATTGGGGCAGGCTCCGGCATATCATGAATCGACTGATGAACCCTGGTCCAGCTATGGCCGCATACTTCCGCCTAGCCCACTTTAATTTCAGCGCACTGAGACAAATTATGCACGGCTTCAGGACATGGGAGCGCTGGGATCGAATCCAATGCAAACGTCATAGATCTGCTCAGTAAGTCATCTACCTGAACCGCGTCCCTGCTTGTTTTGACGTGGTAGAGCATCGCACAGGTGCGCGGTTGTGTAATCACAAAAGCGTGGAGCGCATTACAAACCTTAGGTCAAGCCTCACACCGCACTGGTGATGTTACCCCTCCACGACGTCAAACCATGCCGCTGACTCTCAGAGGTAGATTGCCCTCTTGCTATTAAAACTTTCACGAAGCCCCATTTGTTTTCCCCTCATTTAATACCAAAGGGAACGACGAAGAAAGTTAATAAAAGGCTCAATGAGTACATGTGTTTATAAGAGTTACAACGTATATCTCCTGATGGACGTCTGAAAGGGAGAAATGCTTTTCAACGCCACTGCACTGCACCAGAGTGAGACCCGGGCCACCTAACTTATTCGTAAAATATTGTGGTTTATCGGCTAATACAATACATGAATGTGCCGGCGCCCCCTCATTAAAACGACTTAAATATAAAGCTCTCACAATCCTCACTTTCTGTTCAAATAGCTATCCGAGTATATTTGTTTTTGAGGTTTAGAGACCGACTTCCTCTTTTCGTGTAGAGAAGAGAAAACTGTATGTATGTATGTAAAAACGTTTATTATGATGCCGCCTCTGGCTTCAAGCCCTGCGGAAGAAAGGAAGAAGGGAAGTGAAAATGACGATGATTAAATGAACCTGTCGACCTTGGAAGATCAGAACAAGTCGATGAGAAAGATGTAGGCGAGTTTTTGTTCACTCTGAATGGCGGTGGTCGGTTTCGTCCACTCTATTGGGACCAAGGACTTATGTCGTCGGGGAGGTTGCGAATCGCAGCCTCCGGCGCGGATCCCGCGCAGTCCCACACGAGATGGGAGCAAGTGGCGGGAACGCCGCGACGTTCGCCGTTCGGATCGCGGCCGACATTGTCTGGATCCGACAGATGGATAATTATTGACGGCCAGACCGGCGTCAGCATTGTCCTCGTTTGGAGTTGGTTGAGGTCCACCCGCTCCCATCGCGGAAAGTCGCTCGGAATGCGGTGAGGGTTGGGTGGCAGGAGGGAAATGAGGCGCACCTTGCGTGCTATTTGCTCTTCGCGCTTCACCTCGGAAAGGTAAAAGTCGGCAACATCATCAGGCTCCTTATCAGGACCGAGTGAAGGCTGTTTTGCTTGTAGCTGTGACCTCGCGGCCCCATTCGCCCTCTCGTTTTACGGGACACCTTCGTGGCCTGGCAACCACGCGACTGTGATCGTTTGGACAGCTTTCGCTTTGCGCACCAATGTTCGGATCTGTGGAACCGTGGCGTTACATGTGTCCGTGCGACGCAACTCACGGAGCGCCTCTTGGGAATCTTTATATATGCGAGTTTCTGTGATGTTGGTTCTCTTCAGAATGGCCGCCTGATCAAGATCGCCTGCAGTTTTGCGGAGCACGTGCTCTTTGTGTTTTCGGTGATATCTTGCTGCATGTCTTGTCTTGTAAAGGAGTACCAGGCGGTGTCCGTGCCGCCGGACTTGGAGCGAGATGCGTCTGTGTAAAACACTTCAACGTGCCCTCCGATACCACCGACTTCTGCCATGTGATTGGAGACCTGGCTGACTCGTCGGCCCCGCGCGCCATTCCCTCAGTTTTTTTAGAATCGGTTTGGAAACGGCGACCGCCTCCGTTTTCCATGGGGGCGGAGGTGTCGGCATAAGTGGGCCTTCAATGAGATGTGCGCGCCCATTAAATGTCAGGATAGCTCTGCATCGGGGGTCCGGGGCAGGTGTAGGGCTTGGCTGACTCGTTGTTTTTCGGCGATTTCTTGAATGGCATTCATCTGCCAATGCGTTCGAGCTCTTCCACCCGCGTGAAGCGAGGGTGACCCGTGACAATTTTCATTGCGACCCGATTCATTGACGAGTGTAGTCTCCTGCGTCTGAGTTGTTTTTTGAAAGTTCAGTTCATAAATAACCTTTGACATTAGAAGTGTTTACGCGAGGCGGCGTTATAGGTCTTTCTGAGCCCCAAAAGTTTTGTTGGTCATTGCTTTAAGGAGGGTCAGACCGTTTTTTCACTGCTTTTTTACTTGCGTCATCCATGTGATGGCCCTTCTGCTGTGGTCGAAGGGGACACCCAGAATTTTCACACTGCCTGTCGGTGTGGTTGGTGGGGGTGCCACACAAGTGAAGCTGAATGTCTGTTCGCGATATCTCGCGCTTTGCGGGAATGACCCTATGCATGGTCTTTTCCCTAGAAAGCTCAAGTCCTGTGTCTTGTGCGAAAGTGGTGATGGTGTCAAGGGCACGTTGCATGAGGTGTTGCTGGTCGGATGCAAGTCTGGCTGTCATCCCCAGGGTGACGTCATCCGCATAAATGATATAATGGAGCTGTAGAACGGCTTTGACAGCTAGGACGAGGTCCGTCATGGTGAGGTTGAAGAGGAAAGGCGAGAGGACCACCCCTTGAGGTACGCCGATGTTGTTGGCCTTCCAGCGCCCATTTGTATTTCCGATCGCTATTTGGTAAGTGCAATCTTCAAAAAAGGTCTTGATAAAATTTAAGAGGCGGCCCAATAAAAGTCGCCTTTGAGCAGCAGCGACCACGGTGGAGTACTAAATAGAGTCAAGGGCCTTTCGCAAGTCAATGACGACGAGTGTCCGACGCAGAAAATTGAAGAGATTTCGTTTGTAAAGGTCGGGATGAATCATTAACAGGCTGTCTTGAGTTGACTTGTGAGGTCGAAAACCTGTCTCCATGGGTTGGGGCACCCGTAGTCTCAAGGATCCATTGCAGGCGGCCGGTGACCATGCGCCCCGATACTTTGCTTAAATTGGAGGTGAGAGATATCGGTCGGAGGTTTGCTATTGCGTGTGAAGTCTTGCCAGGCTTCGGTATGGTAATCACTGTGAACAGTTTTCCGCCGGTATTGCGTCTTTCATCCAGACCACATTGAACGTGTCGAGGAGTTCGTTCATCGCATCCATGGGAAGGTTGCAGAGCGCCGTTATGGCGATTAGTTCTGAACTAGGTGCTGAGTTCTCCTTCGCTAAGCTAAGGGCGTCACTGAGCTCCGCCATAGTGAACGGTGCGTCCCCCGATTGTTCGTTTATGACGGGCAGTAGGGTGTAGACCTCGGCCGGTGGCGGCGTTGGTTGTTGAGGAAAGAACTGTTACTTTGCTAACTCCGCGAGTTGTTCCTCGGTTATTCTGAGACGCAAAGCTCGGTTGCTCCCGGTGTTGCGGGTTTTAGTCTTGCCGGTGAGTCCCTTGTACGCATTCCATACTTTCATGTAGACCGTCCTGCCGTTGAAAGAGTCGCATAGCCCTCTCCAGGTAATGCGGCAGAACTCGATCATGTATCGTTTGGCCTCGGCTGTGGCTTGATTCAGGCGGGTCTTGTTCGTAAGAGATTTCGTGGCCCTGTAGCGAACGAGGGTCTTGAGGCGTCTTTCCCACAGCTTGACTAGGTGGAGGTCGAGAGGGTGTGTCCTCTTTCACCTGGTACTCGGTACGGGCCTCTAAGAGCGCGAGCTAGATGCGCTTCGCGAGTGGAACGTCGTCGTGATGACTCATTGCGGTACGATAGTTGTCCCACTTCGTGAATGTTGCCCTCCATCTTGGGGAGGAGCGATTGGAGAGCTCGTTAAAAATGGAAAGGTAATCGCTGCCCATGGGGTCTGACTGTACTTGACATTGAACTTTCAATTTCGGAAAGGCCCAGGTTAGGTAGGGTGACCTGTCGTTGTGTCCGGGTATCTGAGCCAACCGGTTTGGTACTTCGGGGCTCTTGCAGAGCTTGAGCCTGGCTGCAATGCTGGTTTTCTTAATGTTCTTTCCCCGGGCGTTCTTGTCGGCGTATCCCCGCGAGGTGTGACGAGCGTTAAAGTCGCCAGTCAGGATGGTGTGCGGACTGTTTGCCTTTAAATGTTCGGGTGTTTGCTATATTCATGAATTTTGATTTTGTCAACATTAACTTTCTAAAGGAGGATAACGTCTGGTGCTCGGTATTTTAGTGCTTGCAGACGAATTTTAAGTTCCGGTAGCTTTGGCTGCAACCCTCCGCAGTTCCACTGAAGTATCCATGGGGATGGGCTTGAACGCCGTGTGGTGTGCTTACGTGCGGGGGGTGATTTCTGTGGGTCGGCGTTTGTGTTGGGTTGATTAATGCTTGCCGCTATGCAAGTTAATGAGCATACGTATTGTCACCGTGAGTGCCGTCATATGTTTTTCCAGTGGCGCGAACCCTACCTGCTGGGCTTGCAGAGTTTGTGTCGTCATGGTGGGATGTTGTAAATGATGCGCTTGTGGTGTCTTAAGCTGAATCGATCCCGTGGTCATCGCTACATATGGGTTCCCGCCACTTAAGTGTGCCGGTGGTGCCGGAGCTGTAAGCAGACGCGGAGGCTGTCCCTGTCCTTGTTGTTTTCCTGCTGTTGGTCGCTGGTTGTTGTGCCTCAGGGGGATCGCTCGTTGCGGGCAGTCCGTGCTGGTGGCAACGTGGGCACCACCCCAGGTTCTGCACTTTGAAATTTGCGCGCATCCTTCCATGCTGTCGTGCTCGGAGCGGCATGTTCCACGCCGAGCAGCGTCCCTAGGGCACACATCCATCTTGTGTCCGTATGTGTTGCAACGAAAACACACCAGTGGACGTGGGTGGTACTCGCGTACACTAAGGGCCTCGCACATGTAGCTGACTTTCTTGGGGAGGACTCTTCCTCGAAGTGTCACGAGGATGGTGTTCCCTTTGGGTCTCTATGTATCTCGCTGCTACGACTTTGTGACTCTTGCAAACAATGTCTGCCGGTAGCGACTAGGGAGTCGCCTTGTTTTCCTCGCCCGAGAGGTAGTATACTTTCCGGCATTCGGTTCCCTGCCATAGCTTTATAAGGCTGCAGTGGGTGTACTTCTGTGCCCTTTCGTATTTCCATCACTTTGAGAAGTTCCTCCAACGTTAGGGGGTCGCGTGTTGTTATGGCTATTGCATTTGCCTCTTCATTACAATGAACGGTGTACCGCTCATTACTCTGAATGCCGGCTTGCTTGGCAGCTTCAAAGATTTTCTGTCCTGTGAAGGCATTAACCTCCTTTCTTCCAGTGGACTGGAGTACCACCCGTCTGTGTTAGTTGTGGAATTGGTTTTGACGCACCAGCATCTTCCGGAGTCAGCGGGTTTCTTTTCCTCTTTCGTAGTGTTGCGCCTGGGAGCGGCCACTCACGGTCGTCATCCCATTCCATTTTCTGCGACGCAACTTGCGGTGCCTTTCTGTATGGTGAGGACAGCTCTGTCTTGTGTTCTTCAGTAAGGCCACTATAACACCAAGGCGCGGTGACTGTTGGAAGCTGGCTGCCATCTTGGAGCAGCGAACGTGCTGAATAAGAATGGTCGCTATCTGGAATATGACGGTGCTCTTCTGAAAACGTTGTGTAATCTTGCATATTTGTTTCGCTTCTAGGCGAGCGAAATCTTGATTTACTCCGTCTCGATAGACGCCACTGCCGTGGTTATTGTTGCCGCACTTGTTGAGGTGGGCAGCGCTCAGTTTGCGGAGGCGGTATGAACTGCTCCATAAAATGGTTCAGTGCCTCGCGGAATGTGGGGTTATGCTGAATGATTGCCGCTAATATACTCCATGTATGTTCGGGACCTGGTGGTGGTGGTCTTTGTAGCTGTTCTTAAGTTGGTGGAAGGCTTGTAGTGGGTAGAACCTTCCGTATAGAGGTATCTTATCGGGAAAGTAGTCGGCTCCGGATGGTGGCTGTTACTGGGTGAGGCTCGACATGTCATGTGCCGGGGGCCTTCAGCGTCGATCGTAATAGGAATAGGTCACCACCCGAGCAGGTCTGACCCGGGTACAGGGCCCAGTCCGCAGAGGGCCCGCAGGCCAGTGAAGTGGGAGCAATGTTAATCTCGCAGGAGCAGTAAAAAATACGTCCTATCAGTTTGATCGCTTCACGTGCTCCCCCCAGGATAAATGTACCTTTTACAGGTACTTTTTTTTTCTTTACACCAGAATACGAATTTGCTTCCTAAACTTCGACAACAAATATCCGCGGATAGCTATTGGAACAGCAGGTCCGGATTTTATGAGCTTTATCTTGGAGTCGTTTTGCTAAGTGGTGCCGGCACATTCATATTATTAGTCGAGAAATCTCAATATTCTACAAAGGCATCATACATTCTCGAGAAGGACAGCACCATGTAAAAGATCGTCCCGCGGTCGAACTGCAGAATTGTCGAATTTATTGTCCGCGAGCTATGGCTATCTTGAAGGCCCGAGTTCATTCTCGTAGAGAACAACCGTTACAGAAAATGAGATAAAAGTGCGATCGGTGGAAAAGCGGTCATTAGCAGCACACAATTGAGTGCTGAGTACACTAGAAAACCAGATGATCTCAGCACAAGTGACGACGCGGCAAAAGGCGCGCAGTTCTTGGCACATATGTTGACCAGATTCGATGGCTGCGCTATCCAGAGCCACTAAATAAGCTACGCTTCAGAGTAATGACACTTCAGCCATCTTGATGCAATCATGGTTGCCAGTTATCCAAGCTTTATCTGAAATCGCAGGAAACGTTATTTTGTCCCCCATAAATGTTGGGGCAATTCATGACAGAGCAAAACGATATCACCTGAGCTTCTTACCGCCGTGTCTAAAACTGAGGAAGTCACATTTTTTAATTGTGACGATGGACAGTTGCGTCTGCTCTGCTCTAGGCACCAAGATGGCGGCGACCACTAGCAGATCGGGGAACGGAGTGCCGATACTCTAAGCTTAGCTTGTTTAGTGGCTCTGGCTCTCTCTATACTTCCGTCCTGGATCCCTAGATTGAATCTAAGCAGGCAACGAGCAGACCTCCTCCTTCAGCCCACCCACCACCGTTGTCTGGCCAGTCCAGGCACAAGCGTGGGAGGGCGAACGCTTCCATTTGCTTGAACAGCGCGATGAGGATGTTTACAATTTTACGAGTGGGATGTTTGAAGACGGCGTAATATATTCACGATACTCGTTATTTCTTTGACACGCAGGGTTTTTCTTCGACCTAACTGGCACATACGACGCTTCCTTCTACATTGCCGGCTCCGTGATCACCCTTTCGGGGATCATGTGCTTCCCACTGCCGTGGATATCCAGGTGGGAGAGGCGGCGGAAGGAAGGTCCTCTGCCAGAGATTATCACGACAGGAGCCGACGACGCAGAGGGCGAAGAAGGCCAGGTCATGGTGACTGTGACTTAAGGGCTGCCCTCTACGCTCGCTGGACCAAGCTCAAGCAATCGTGCATCTAGCGCGGCGATCTTCTTGACACAAAGAGCGTACCGGACGATGGTTAGTGTCGCGTGCGTTCTCGAGTCGACCAAGAGGAAACATCCTGCCTGCGCGCACCCGCGCGCACCTGGCAAGCAGAACTGAGCAGTGTTGGCGGCATGCCAACTTGCCGCGACTTGATGACAAGGAGATACCGCGGCATGTGTGAATTCTGACTATAACGTGTCGCCGTAGAACAACAAGTTCGCTGTTGACAACTGAACAACTCTGTAGGAAGCTGTCATCATAAGCTGGGCACCAGGACGCCACGAATTTTGATATTCTTAGCAGCCATAGTGCATACGTTTCTAGACATTCCTTGCTGCCATGGCGCACTGTCGACGAATCACAAATGGGCGCCGGCAGCAACGCTTCTGTTCGCTTCTGGCTGACTGGCTGTGTAGGCCGACTCTGGAAGTCACTAATCCAGTGTCTTTAGAACCGCTTTACCTCGAACACAGGCTTTTAATTGACACCCTCTCCCCCTTCTTAACCCCCAGAAAAAGTGGATATGTACCGTTCTCTGGGCCAATTAGCGAACCACGGCAGAGGCTGAAAAACATAACAGAGATTCCTCAGTTCTCGTAGGACACTTCGCGCACGACTGAACCTAGTCCAGGACAGGAGGTCGTGAAGATGGACCAGGTCACGCCCTGGCTGTTCTGGGCATACGTCATGACACGCACGTCTTCTTTATCGTGGTATTTCACCGTTTTAGTTCTGTTTCAGGGAGATTAGTTAACTCATCTCTTAACTTTCTACACACAACGTACAAACATGAGTTTTTGGCTACGCCAGTGGATGTTCAAACTCAAAGCTCTGTAAAGTCACAGTCAGTACGAACACCGCTGGTGGTGAATGTGTACATAAGTTGCATGAAGAGTTTATGCCTGTCATTTCCCGTTTGAGAAACAATAGTTTGCTATGTGGAGAATGTAGACGCTCATGTTTCAATTTCTGTGATTTTTCTTTCTGTGCACGACTCTTTCCTACAGGATTCAAGGCGTGCAGCACACGCAACACGCACAAACATTTGCATTTTTGAGCACTGGCTTCGTCCACATCTCACTTATGTCATATGGCTTCAATATTATGACAGATGCGAAAGGTGTCGACGTTCTTGACACATGTTTTCTAATTAGTTTACTTGCACTATCTTAACCAGTGCCCCATAAAGACCAAAAGGGTCTCTAAAATATGAAACTCACGTAAGATTTCTACATACCACAACTCCTATGAGGAAATGGGTTCTCTTCCATTCAGTTTCATTAGTGAGAATGAAAACATATTTTGTTGATATGCAGAGTTTTATCAATTATGTTATCCTTATTTTCCTGCAAATATTCGAAGTTCACAAGAATGTGAAGCTTCACAAAAAAAGACAATAATATTTCTAAAAAAATCAATGTCCAAAGCATTTTTTTAAAATACAATTGAATCTTTTTGTGCGTTTGGCAGTTAGGGAAATTGAAAAAGTCTGCTGGAGAATTCATTTGGCGCAGGCACCCGCGATAACCTCTTGCATCAAACGCCTATAGTTTTCAAGCGCACAGGAAGCCATTTTCATTTCACCACCATTCTCTCATTTTCATTGGCTATTTCCTATCTGGTGGAAAATAACATAAAACCAACAGCACTCTAAAAGGTGTTATCATATAGGCCCGGCCTAAAAATAGGTCGAGATGAATAATCAGTTTCTGGCTTTTGATAGTTATAGGGACACCATAGGGACATTTCCGGCGGTTCTGAGTTCTTTTTAGCTGCTCTTGTATTGCGGATGTACGCAATAAACTCGTTGTTTTTCTTGATGATCCCTTCTTACCTATACTACTACATTTTACCTCTAGACTAAGGACCACGTAGGACACTACGAGCCGTCTAACCTAATCCAATACCTTTCGAGTGCCACGTGGCATTCGAAAGGGACCTAGTGACGCCTCGGGTGCATAGTCACGTGATACCGTTACTCTGCTGGATTGGCTGAGATGGATTGTAGGGTCTGCAGCGGTCCATCACAAGTTTAAACGGAGTACTGTCGCGGAAAATGTGAGCTCAAACACTCCCTTGTGGTTGCTTGGCGTTTATGCCGGCTTTTAAAAGTGATTTGGTTCAAACTAGTGATGAAATGAAAGTCTTAGAACGCTTTGATGAATCAAAAAGTAAAAAAGTTTGAGGAAAAAAAGAAGAGGCCGCAATGGGTGTTTCAGCTCATACTGTCCGCGGGGGTCGAAGTGAAATGAACAGGAAATATAACTTTTGTTTCAAAGTTCGCTGCTTGAGATCGAGTGGGTGAAATTTCGTTTCCAATCGAATGTGCGCTTGAGCATCCTGAAGTGCTATTTGATACAACGCGCTTGGGCCTGGTGTCACGACATGCAATCCATTTACCTTTTGGAACTGTGACTGCGCAAAATTGTTTATTCATCTTTATGTTATAAGACTCAATGGCCAAATTGAATTTAAAAGATAAAACCCAATCGGACGCCCCAACGTTCGTTTACTTCCAAATACCGAAGATGAACACCTTTGGTAACAATGCGCAAAATGCCATCCTTGAAGTGAACAATGTTATAGAAAAACGTGTGTAAAATACATAGTTCAGGATCAATTGTCCTCCAGCTGCGTCTTAAATTATTTGGCGGGACACAGTCTGGGATTCTTGCAACTTTCTCAGAAACACCTGGAACAATTCGGGTTTTGGATCCTCGTTGGTTGCTTTTTCGGGGGTGCATAATAATATATGCTGTAGAACTTCGAGTTGCTATTCTTTTTTTTCGAATGTTTGTCACTCTTAGACATGCTCCTACAATTTTCATAATCATGAGCCGAAAAATTTGTCACGAATACATGCGTGATTTATGAGAACCACTGTCACAAGAACTTTATCAACCTCGTTTTGTGTTTGTATGGCAATCTTAAGTATGTGTCAGCAAATATAGGATCACAACAGCCTGCCCCGAGCCAAGTGACCCGCTTGTACTTCTGCCAGATAAATCTGTTTAAATAAATCTTCTCAAATAGAAATCTAATAACATGCTTTGTTCACGTTGTCTGAAGTGACGTATCCAATGGCCGACTGGATGTGCACTAAATAGAATGTCAGTTTTGTTAAGATTGTACGGGAGACGTAGGTTCTGCTCAAATATCAAAAGCAGTAGTGGTATCTATAGTGCATCCTTGCTATATATTTTCTTCCATCGACTTTGATGTTTGATACAGTCGGACGCAGGGCCCGCATCAATGTTGTTAAGCAAACAAGCTGTTTTTCTTCATAGTGTTGTCCTAGGATAACCGGCGCTGGCTCCTTTGACAATCGCCGCTATTACTCCAAATCATTGTTTGCGGGTGGTGAAATTTACGCCACTGGCCCTCTTCCGCATACACCACCAACATTTCCACCGCCAACACCACCGGCACATTTTAGATACTCGAGTGGGGCACGTTAACGATAACAATCTTCACATATTCATTTTATTATGATTTGTCTCACCTTTACCACCTTTATTCATGGGCTAATGTTATGGCGCCTGTTCACCTTCATGAGGTGGTATATTACAGCATCCCATATCGCTATGCATTACAGCATTAAAGTTATAATATGTTCCTCAGCGTAGACTAAAAATTATTGTAGATACAAAAATACATAATAATAATAATAATAATAATAATAATAATAATAATAATAATCATTATTATTAATATTATTATTCGGGTGTTTCCCTCTAGTTGTAATGTTTGTACTCGTTTATTTCTCTCTATAGTTGCAACGTTGGCAGGCTTTGTCCAGTTATATCTGTACGCAGCTTGTTAGTGCGCATTTGAATGTTAGGCGCGTCAGCACTAAGACATAAAACAGCTGCCGCACCGCTTTATGTCTGCATAAACAAAAATAAATGCCCTCGTTCCGGGGTGCTTCGTGTACGCTTCAGGCGAGCTTCGACAGCGTTTCTTACTTTGATCGGCCCGATGCCTCTAAGATGTACATAGGCATTTCTGTGTTTTTTTTTTATTGTATATACTCTATTTCAGATGCTTCAGTTCACTCCTAATTTAGCCGTGCTGTATGCAGTGGTACGAATGAAGCTCATTTCCAAATATGCGCGCCATCTATAGAAGCTGCTGCGTGTGTCATTCGAGTCCGCCGCTGGTTGAGCACGTGCTCAATGCTTTTATTAAACACGAGGGCTGCGTCAGAGCTCGGTGTGAACTCGACTTAACTCGTATCAAAAACGAATAATGCGTCAGCGCTCTGCGAGGAATCGGATCCAGTCGCACGCATCGCGCCAGTGCTTCTTCATGGGGCGAAAGGGCACGCGATAGGACCACGCCCTTTGCAATGTCAGGAGAGAGGACGACACGGAGAGGTAAAAATATGAAGACAGAAAATTGAATGGAGCGATAAAAAGCCGCCCACGGCAAGAAAAACTAACCGACACATGAAACGCTGGCAAGCGCTCAAACCAAAACCCAGAACAAAAAATAACAACGCTAAAGCGCTCACTCAACTCCGCCACAACATACAGCCAAAAACAAACGTTCGCCGGCGAAAAAAAAAAAAAAAAAAGCCCAAAACTCTCAAATGAAGTGACTGTGATGTCCATGACTTGGAGTGTGGAGGGGTCAAAGGTGGATTTCGGGCGGAGGGGTTGGGTTGAGGATTAGGGCACGTCTGTGCCCTGACCGCGGTTGAACGTCCCGACGTCAATATATTCGGGATACTATTATGGATCCACGATTTCCTACAGGACCTGGATGCGTATATGTAGCCAAGGACACCTTGGAGCCCGGCTGCGCGTGGACAGGACAGACCGCAAACACCGAAACAGAAAAGCTTGTAGGCCCAGAAAGCAGATGCGTTTTGCCAGCGGGTGTCGGGAAAGCTTGCGGAACTTGCAGTAAACACCGGAAACGCTGGCGGACAAGTTAATGAGTACTTGGACTTATATCTGCTGGGCGAAGACGGCTTGTTACTTCGCTGCATTCTAACGATCGATGAAGGGGGGAGGGGGAGGGGGGGTGTCACGCGGTTCCTGTTGCTTAACGTTGGGAAATAAGCGAAAGCCACACAAGGATACGTTATGAATTATTCACTCTATATTATCAAAGCAAAAAATATTATCTTTAAGCTAATTATATTCTTATACTTCGTCCTTTTCGTTAGCGAGGTCAAATGTTCGTTAGCTCACTGTTCGTCCAAGACGGGGATAGGCGATGGAAGTCCAAGAGGTGGCAACGGAAGCCGAAGGGGTTGGCCTTCGGTTGCTGTTAAAAGCCGAGCTTGTGCCCGATGTTGTGAACGTTCCAGAGTCCCAGGAGACCTACGTAGCGCTTTTTGGACTCCCACGGCGACTAGGGAGAAGGAAGTGACGTCAACAGCGCAAAAACGCAGCTTGGATGTTTCTTCCGTTGAAAATCGTCATCAGCGACTCTCGCCATTAGCTTAGAACGATTTGCTCGTTTTGTTCTTACCACATTTGCTGGCAACGTGAGCTCGGAGCGTAGGCAACTGGCCCACTTGCACGAGAACTGGCGCAGCCGTGCGCGTTCCAAAGAAAACTCGTTCAGAGAAAAACAACCGAAGGACCAGGGATTTCAAATTCAGGATATAGAAAACTACCCCACTGTATTGAAGTGCCACCACAAACAATTTGTCGCATTGATGTACAGGTCTGAAAGGCGATCCCACCGCCATGTGTTGGTTCAGAATAACACTAACCAAGGTGTGGTTGCACCTTAAGTGGGATCTATTCGCAACTTTCAGCAATGGTGGTACCGCGGTGTGAAAATCACGCTCCCTCGCTCCTGGCTGATGGGTTTCACAATAAGGGTGCTTGCCTACACCTTCCTGGGATGAAAAACTAAAGGCTAAAATACTGGTTGTATAAAGCAAAACTAGAATTACTTACACGCCGCAGACCCCGCTTCGTATTGTGGGAGCCGGGGGTGAAAGACGAGGCAGAGAGCACGTGACAGGCGGCCGGCGGTGAAGTCACGAGCTGGCGCGAGACATTGCGGGCTGAGCGAGGCTGGAGCTAAGCTGGACAAGAACGACGGAGCCGGGGCTGCCTGACCTGGCCTATCGAACCCCGGAGCGGTCCACCAGCGAGGTCTGGAGCAAGACCGGTGGAAACGGCGAACCCGGGCCATATGACCTGGGCTACGACGATCCCGGGGTGGTTCCGCAGCGAGACTCGGGCATTGATAGCCCGGGACAGCCAGCCTACGCAGCGCTGGCGTGGGAAAGGCGATCCGCAGGCCTGGACACGGACCCCGACTGTGAGCTCTGATCGACGGGCGACAACAAGGGTCGGTGTGCTCTGACTACCGGCTCTCGACGACGGGCAACCGAGAGGTACAGTAAACCCATTCGCTGTCTTCTCGTTGCAGTGTGTAACTCCCTGGGTGACGGGCGGAGCGCATACCGATCGGGTGGCGAATATTAGTATAGAGGGACCTCCCCCGTAAAGAAACCCCACATTAAAATGGCGCATCCAACCTGGGGCCCGTTCGGTATGCCTCTGCTTCTAGTCGTCCCCAGGGAGTCCCATGGATTCGTTAAGCGGATTGTTCACTAACGCTAACGGTGCCCGTTGAGACAAAGTATGGTGGAATTTTGGTGACTTGTCTCACAGCAGAGCTCAGCACGTGTCTCCTCGAATCGAGTACTTAAAGGTCTCGAAGGACGAGGTTGCGGACGCGCGTTCTCGGATACCCCAGAATAGTGGTTGGCAGAAGGTGACCCAACCGGGAGGAACACGAGGAGCGCGATTAAGATGTAAGAAAGTCGTCTTCGGAGGCAGAGGAGAGCCACGGCATGTTCGCTGGAAGGCAGGATAGCGACTGGCAGGAGGAAACACAGCCAGGACTTATTCCATATTTAGGATTTAGGCTTGGAGTGATGCGGTAGGCAAGCAAGCGCTTGTCTAGGCCCGGGGTGCAGATGGGGTTTTGTCAGTGGGTGTCGGAAAGATTGCGGGAATTGCAGTCGACACCGGGAACACTGGCGGTCGAGATTGTCAGCGGGTGTTGGGTAAACTGGCGTAAATTGCAGTTGACACCGGGAACGCTGGCAGGCGAGTTAAGGAGCAGTATGATTTGTAACCGCTGGGCCAAGACGGCTAGTTGTTTTGCGTCACTCCAACAACCGACGAAGGGCAGAGGGACGACTCTCCCTTGAGGGGGTCGTTCCGAGAAAGCTACGAAATGTTTTATAGGATACTTTTTCGGCTTCACTCTGGCCGGTCGTGGCAGTGACAGCAAGACTTTTGATAAGTTATGTCGCGTCACGACCTGGCCGGGGATGAGGCGGTAGACATTTAGTTGGCTTGCAGTTGTCCAGCTTGTCTTGAGGCGTGAACGGTTTAAGCGGGCTTGCTCGCTGAGCTACCGCCCCCTCCGAGGACCGAGCAGTCCCTAGAGCTCGTATGCACGTGGACGGAATGGGACGCTGACGCTTACATCGAGTAGCACATGGTATATGTAGCCGTTGCGGAATTGCGGGTATGGTATTTGGTCATCCCGCCACAGGCTTTGGATCCCTTCGCTTGCGCAAAAGATGGACTAGGTTTACGCCATCGTTACCTGTTCTGAAGGAAACTCACGCTTTGAGCAACGCAGCTAGTGGTTTTGCCGTATCGCTTGCTCCGAGGTGATAAGGGCATCCGAGGTAAAAAGACGCGAGCGTCGTGTCTTACTTCTAGGCTTACTCGGCGAGATACAAACGAGGAGGCTTGCCCGGTTCACATCGCTGACTTGAAAGGGTACTACCGTTGTCGCGATGGGGAATACGTATAGCATGAGGTTGCGGTAGGACACAAGAAATCCCCTGTTCTTGGCGACCGAGGAGCGAGCTCTGGAATGCAGCCTTGCTGAGTTTGCCGCATGGTACACGGACCCGTCGGCAAGCTATGTGGCGGAAGAGGCTATGGCCACTGCCACAATCTGCGGCAGAGTATTTGTTCGCTGTGTGTTGTTTTAACAGTTTGTTCTGCGCAGAATAGCTTCTTGGAAAGACGGCCATAGACGCTGT